ACTATGAAACTATTATGTGGCACTAGTATAGGGCCAAATTCGGTTTTCAAACATTCCTGTACCTTTGAGATGATCAGAGCTGGAATTGTGGTTCCTCAAATACTGAAAAAGGCTTGAATGTCACTACTGATGAACCCCAAAACAAAATATAGAGGATGTTCTAATCTGGTATAATGGGAGCCCATCTCTAATGAAATGTATGTCTTTTTCCAGGCTATTAATGTTTGAAGGATTTGTCACATACCAGTCAATTATTTCCTTGCAGAGATCTATGAGCTAGAAAAAAGTAAACAGTTCTAGAGCTATTGCCAAAGGCAAACATATAGTTTAACAGATAACTGCAAAATGATTGTTCCATCTGCCCCCTTTAATTTAGTTCCAGTTATCATCAGGAAAAATCCCAATACAACTATTGGATGACTCTAAAAAGAAATAGCACAAATTAAAATGTATAGCCTTTGTTTTCATACCTGCCATCCCAAGTCACGGAAGCTCACGTACAGTTCATGTTTTTTACAGGCTTGTTTTTGTTCACTTGTGTTATAATCTACAGAAAACAAAAGCAAAAAAAACCCCAACACATTTAGCAATACTGACTTAAGTATTAGTTATGTTAAGTTTCCAGCAAAACCATAAAGAGGAATGAAACAGAAAAAAATGTCTATTATTTTGTTAAAGATGGTTAAAAAAATCAACATAAAACTTCGAGGTTCAGAATCCCACATCTCAGGCTGGTATGATTTCAGGATATAGTAGAAACTATGCCTCTAGTACTATCAGAAAATTTTTACCCACTACCTACTTACTGAGTAGCTTTGTAGGTCTGATAATATTGCAGAATTAATTCTGCAAGCTGGAAGATGGACATCAGGGGCCTGATCAAAACTTACTGAACTCAAGTTCATTGATTTAATTAGCTTTTGCCCTCAAATGCCAGACATATAGACTGGAAGCCCAATTTCAAATTAAAAATAAAATGTTTTCAAAATTGTTTTTAAATAATACAGGTTTATTAATTACAGTTATTTAAATATTGCTGCATTTTGTAGTGTTATATTTTAAACATTTTCTAACTAATTTACATTAATAGATATATTTTCACCAAGAACCTTCAATTGTTAACAAGGTAAACAACTAGCAAAACAGATGCTTTTTAACGACTTGAATCACCGCCAGAGATTTCCAAGGCTGGAGGAAAACAGAAAGCTTTCTCTGAACTCCCTTGTTAGGGAAGAGCATACTTTCTAGGGAAGTGAGAAGACTGCTTCTCTATTGCCTCCAACAGGATGAGAGGTAGGGCAAATGACCTCATGCCATCCAGGCACCACCTGTGGAGTTCATAGGATCATAAGATAGTAAACGCTGGAAGAGACCTCATAAGGTCATGTAGTCCAGCCCTATGCTCCCTGACTAAACTATTTCAGACAACTGACTGCTCTAACTCTGCAGTTGTCATTCCTGTTAATACAACCCAGTGTGCTGTTAGCTCATACACAGTTTATGGTCTACCATAAACCCCAGGTTCTTCTTTACAGCGCTGCAGACTAAGCCAGCCGTTCCCCAATCTGTATTTGTGCATGCAATTATTGCGTCCCAAGTACAGGACTTTGCACTTGTCCATGTTGAATCTCATCTCATTGATTGGAAACTATATTTCTATTCTATCCTAGTTATTCTGGATCCTAGTCCTTGCCTCCAGAGTGTGCATCTACAGCTAGCTCAGCGTTATCCATTAATTTGCTATGTGTGTACTCAATCCATCATCATTAATAAATCATGAATGAAAATGCTGAACAATACAGGCCCCAGGATAGACCACTGTGGTACCTCATTTGGTAACTCCTCCCAACTAGGAATTATGTTTAAAAATCATTAAAAAAAACTCAAAGAAAAACAGAAACTGAAAAGCAAAAGTGTGTGTGTGTGTGTGTGTGTGTGTGTGTGTGTGTGTGTGTGTGTGTGTGTGTGTGTGTGTGTAAATTTTAAGTTTTTAAAAAGAGTTTTGGTTTTCTTATTCTAATTTCTAAAGTTCTTATTCTGCTTTATAACCTGACTTCTAGGTTTTGTTATTTTTCAAAAAAAAGTTTCAAAAAGCAGTTTCAAAAAAAGTTTGCTTGGAAAATTTAGAGGTGGATTTTTGTTCAACTTCTGATGAAAAAAAATTGGCATTTTTCTGTTAGTACTCTCCAAATATTGTAAAATGAAGTGAACAGCTTTTTATGTTGCCTCTGGAACATACAGTAAGTTCCTTAGAGAAATTGTCACTGGCAATTCTTGTTAGAAGTTGGGCCTTCATCCTACAAGCTTCCTTCAGCTCATTATAGGAAAATTCTGAAATATGTGCCTAACTTTTGTTAAAAACGTAACAACATAAATAAATAATTTCATCATTATCTTAAATTTATGAACAAAGAAATCAGAGAAATACAGACCATCTAGTTTTTTCCTTTGCTGGGAGATCAAATTAAGTGTACTTAGTTCATCTCTGACAGACACAGACTTTTGTCACATCTATTCTTAAAACTTCTGAGGAAGGGAATTCAACAAACTTACCCAAATACCTAAAGTAAATCTTCTTTGCTACAAATTAAGTTAATTACTCTTTGTCCCACCCCAGTAGATATGGGGAACAATAGACCATTGTTCTCTTTATAAACATTTGACTTATTTGAAGATAGTTATCCTCTTGTTCCCTAAGTCTTCTCCTGATCAGACTAAACAAACTCCATTCTTTCAACCTTCCTAATACGTCATGCTTTCCAAACCTCTTATTTTTGCTCTGCTCCTTTGGACTTTCTCCAAGGTATCTGGATTGTTTTTAAAGCATGGTACCCAAAACTAGATAACGTATTCCGCCTGAGGCATCACCAGCACCAAGTATAATGGAAAATTCGTTCCAATGCCTTGTATATGAGAATCCTGTTAATTCATTCTCAAATGAGAATTGCCTTTTTTTTCTTATCATACTACTACATTGCTGATTCATATTTCATTTGTTATCCACTATAGCCCCCTGAATCCTTTCAAACCATGTTGCTGCTCAGCCAGTTATTTCCCATGTTGTACTTGCGCATTTGATTTCCATTTTCTAAATATAGTACTCTGAATTTGTCATAACTGAATTTTATTTTATTGATATTGGACTGCTTCTTCAATGTATCAAGTTTGTTAGGAATTCTAATCCTGTCTTCCAGAGTACTTGTTATCTCTCCCAGTTTGATATCATCTGCAAATGCTATATGTGTAGTCTCTAATTCATTATCCAAATAATGAATGGAAATATTGAAGGACTTTACTTGAAATGGTAGTGTTGAGGTGATATTGTTGGCATGATGGTCCAAGAGATATGTGACAGTCAAGAATTTTTGTGGGAGATATTTTTTATTGGAACAACGGTGTCATCAATTAGGGTATAAAAATAGGCAAGCTTCTGCGTATCATAACACCCTTCCTCAGGCCTTCTCAATTTGACAGTAGATATAATGCTTCTCTAATGACAGTTTTTTCAATCCCATTTGTCCCTCTATCTTGTAATAATTTCAGATAGGTCATATTTCCCTAGGTTGCTTATAAAAGCTTCATATGAGAAAGTGCTAAAATCTTTACAGCCACCCAGATATATTGCATTTACTACTTCTTCTTTATCTTCTAGACAAGTTTACCCTGCCAAAGAAAAACTAAATTGGTTTGACATGACTGTCCCTGCTAAATCAATGGTGGCTTTCTTATGACCTTATGAACCGGATTCTTTCATAATTTACTCCAAAGTATTCCTGGGTATTCAAGGTAATGAACAGAAATAACAATTGTATCAATATTATACAATACCTATGTAGGCAGTTACAGCCTATTAGGGCTGCCTATTTTTATAGCAACACAAGTATAGCAAAACCATTGTAACTTTAACCTTGTTTCTTCAGGGTTAAAATTACAGTAATCTAACTAACATGTATGACTACAGGGGTATGTAGATGTAACAGTTACATCATAACAGCTGATTTGCACTCCCAAGTTGAAGTTTCCCTTCCTTTTTTAAAGACATTAAAAGATATGTTTGCCCTATGGCCAAAGTTAGGGTAACTAGTTTATCATTCCCTAGATCCTCCTTTTCCCCCTTCTTAAACATCGATATTATGTTTGCCCTTCTTCAGTCTTCTGAAACGTCCCTTCTCCTCCAGGAGTTTATGACAATAATTGTTAATAGTGCAGAAATTGCTTGGGCTAGTTGCCTTTAAGTACCTTAGAGTGAATTTCATCAGACCCTGCCAACTTGAGTACATTTAAATCATCCAAATATTCCTTAACCTGTTCTTTTCCTATTCTGGCCTGTGGCCCATTCTACCTTTTAAATGAAAAATATTACATTTCTTGTCCCAGTTAAACATTTTTTTTCTGAAGACTGAAGAAAAAAGCCCACTGCATACTTCAGCCTTCCCTCTGTCCGTGATCTGCTCCTCCATCCCATTAAATAATGAACTACATTATTTTTTTATCATCATTTTATTTCTAACATATTTATAGGACTTGCTCAATTATTTTGCTGAAGTGGGCTTTAGTACCCACCACTGTGCAATACTGAATCCTTAGTTAATAATGCCTACAAGCCAAGTACTATATTTTAACTTCTTAAAAGTTTTCTTTGCTAATTTTACATGAATATTAATGTGTTTGACTTCTACCAGCATTGATTCTCACTGAGAGTAAATTTTGAACTCATGTGCGCCAGCTCTCAAAGTAAATTTTAAATGAATATTCTATAAAAATCTACACAAGATTGGTTATATGAATAACAGTCACAAAGTGAAGGAATGGAAACAATGCCAAAAGTCATTTCAAATTTTGGTCACAGAGTTTAGAGTAAGAAGTTATAGCATAAACAAGGTTTATGGAATATATTCCCAAGAAAAACACAATCACAAAGCAGTGAAATTTGAAGTATAAATTGTTCTTTATCAAGTTTTTCCTCAGCCAATAGCTTTTTACTTTTAGATACAAACACAAAATTTTTATCACCAAAAATATAACAGAATGGGTATGAGGCTTGTGGAAGTATATATATTTGGAACCATAAGGCTCATGCCCATTCTGTTACAGTTTTGGTTATAAAGGGTGTGTGTTTTACAGAAAGGTATGTATCCAGTGCATAACATTATATAAATAACCTAGGATAACACAGGTTTAATACATTTTTCAAATAATTTCCAGGATATTCAGCCATACATATACATATTTACGTATACATACATATATATACATATATACACATACACACACGCATATATATATATATATATATATATATATATATATATATACACGTACACATATACATATATATGTGTGTGTATGTATGTGTGTACACACATACACACACACACATACATACATGGCTGAATATACTGGAAATTATTTGAAAATATATTAAACCTGTGTTATCCTACATTATTGATATGATGTTATGCATTGGATACATATATCTTTCGGTAAAACAGCTAAACCACACACCTATTTAGAATGCTAAATAACTAAAGCAAATCCATATTCCTT